TCACTCCAAATCTTGTATATGATTGGTTTTTAAAACTTTTTCGCATAATAAAAATTATATAAATTGGAAATTTTAGCCCATATGTCTGGTAGAATTAGGGTTGTTGATGATAACTTACCAGTAACTTCGAGTAAGTTAACAAACATAATTTTGTAGAATTTAATTCGTAACTCTGGTAAACATAATTTTGTAAATTTGGTATAATTTTGGTAGTAAACATAATTTTTATGGCGAAGAAGAAAAATTGACAGATAATTATTTTATTAGAAGCCACCAGTCGTCCGAAGCACCTATTTTTAAAACTTATTATGACCCAGCCGATGTAGAAGTCCACGAAACTCGTTGTTTAATAATTGAATAATATTTTCCACCGCAAGAGAAAATTTCAGGCTTTTTGTTTTTAATATTCTGATGAGGATCTTATTGAGATTTATTTAAAAGAAGAATACAAGATAGATACGACTAATGATTTACGGAAGGTGAAGTTTGTATTTATTTTAGATGGTTATGATGAAATTGCTGAACGTGATTGTCAATGCTATGAGAGTAATAAACTTGGTAAATGGAATGCAAAAATTATCATCACTTGTCGACCAGAGTACTTGGGTTCAGGATATGAAAAAAGGTTTTTACCTAAAAATGGTGAAAGAGGATTTCAAGAATTAACGATAACTCCATTTACGAAAACAGAAATACAACAATATATCAAAAATTATGTTGGTAAAGGCCATTCGCTACATTATGACACAGACACGTATCTACAGCAAATAAAGAAAATTCCACAATTAGAATATTTGATTAGCAATCCCATTCTATTAAAGATTACCTTGATAACCTTACCTGATCTTATCAAACGAAAAGAAACAACGACCCTTCAAATAAATCGTGTAAATTTATATAAGGAATTTTTAACAACGTGGTTTGACCGTGCACAAAATCGTCTGTTAAACATCCAAAAAATAGATAAGGAAAAAGAAGCGTTCAGAATCCTAGAGGATAATGGTTTTTCGGAATCTTGTCTGCGATTTAGTAAAGAATTTGCTGCCGAGATGTTTACAGACAATAATAAAGTAGTTATAGAATATGATTCTAATAATTCTAATTGGGAAACTTTTCTAGGCAATGAAAATGCAAAGAATTACTTGTTGCGTTTTAGTATGCCATTAATACGACGTGGAACTGAATATTGGTTTCTTCATAAATCCATAAGAGATTATCTGATTGCCTTGAAATTTTTGGAGTCGTTTGAGTCGATTGAATTAGGTACAACATTCTTTTACAAGCAGTCACTTGCGTCAGAACCTGGAGTCCAGCAATTTTTTGCCGAACACATCCAACAACAGATGTCAGACGTTAAACCAAAGCTACTAGCATTTATTGAAAGTTCCAAACAAAATGAGCAGGTTCAAATTGCTTCTGCTAATGCGATTACAATTCTAACACTGATCGGTGTGCATTTTAAAAATATAATTGATTTAAATGGTAGCAATTTTTCGGGGGCAGATTTGAGCAATAGGATACTTAATGATCTGCAATTAGAAAAAGCTAAGCTAAATCAAGTGAATTTCCAAAATGTAAACTTTCGAAATGCAAATCTCAAAAATTCATCTCTTCAAACCGCAGATTTTAAAGGTGCAGATCTCACATCTGCAGATCTTCAGAATACACTTCTTCAAGGCCATGTTTCGAAATACAAAGCTTCGAAATACAAATCTCCAAAGTTCATCTATTCAATACGCAGATTTTAAAGGCGCAGACCTCATATCTGCGAATCTTCAGAATACACTTCTTAAAGATGCCAATTTTCAAAATACAAAGCTCCAATATGCAAATCTCCAATATGCAAATCTCCAAGATGCGAAGCTTAAAGGTGCAAATCTCCAAAATGCAAATCTCCAATACGCAAAACTCCCAAGTTCATCTCTCAGATACGCGGATTTTAAAGGCGCAAATCTCTCATTTGTAGATCTTTATGATATGAATAGTTCAAACGGAATATTCTGGCTTGGTAAATGTTATGAAAATGGAATTGGAGTTGAAAAAGATAAACATAAGGCATTCACTTATTATCAAAAATCAGCAGAGCTGGGGTACGTTGATGGAATATTCCAGGTTGGGTATTGTTATGGTAAAGGAATTGGAGTTGAAATGGATGAACGTAAAGCATTCATTTATTATCAAAAATTAGCAGAGATGGGGCACGCTAATGGAATATATGATATTGGATTTTGTTTTGAGAATGGAATTGAAGTTGGAAAGGATTATCATAAGGCGTTAGTTTGTTATCAAAAATCTGCAGTCATGGGTAATGCTGATGGAACGAATAGTGTCGGAGAATATTATCAAGATGAATATAAAGAATTTCTTTATTATAATAAAGCTGCCGAAATGGGAAGTGTTAGTGCTATTTGTAACCTTGGAAAATGCTATCAGAATGGAATTGTAGTTCTAAAAGATTTAAAAAAAGTTTTTGAATTGTATATGAGATCTGCTGAATTTGATCTAATTGATGGATTAAGAAATGTTGGATACTGCTATCGAAATGGTATTGGGACGAAAAAGGTAAATTTATTGAATTTTGTTTAATACTTGAATTATGATTAATATTGTTTTATTTTTATTTTTATTTTTATTTTTTTTTATTTATTTCATAAAAAAAAAAGCTAAAAGCACTTTATGAGATCGGATATAGAAATCTATTGCTCTTAAGATGCTATGGACTATCGAGAGATGAATCAGGAAATTATATTCTTATTTTGAAATATGCAAACAAGGATTCTTTGCGTAGTAATCTTTACGAAGTATCGCAAATGGGCTGGGAAGATAAATTAATTTTATTAAGTTGCATAACATCTGGCCTTGAAGCAATTAATTCGCAAGGATTAGAACATCGAGATCTTCAAAGCGGAAATATTTTGCAAGATGAATTAAATAATGCTTATATTACAGATTTACGCTTTATTAATAATACAAAAAATGAGACTTTACTAGGAAAACCATATACTCAAGCAGTTAATACTTATGCTTTGGGTATTATTATGACAGAAATATCAAGTGGAAGAAAGGCTTTATATTGTTATAATTTCGGCGAACCTGAATTATTTAACGGAATTCGCGAATGTTATGCTAAATTAGCAAAACGATGCATGAAATCAGATCCGAAAGAACGACCTACAATCCAATCTATCAATGAATCGATTAATAAAATAGAAAATTTTGATGATGATTATAACGAAATAAAAAAACAATTTTTAGAGGCTGATAGCATTAATCCCAACATTGAATCATCAACATATCTGAATAACATCACATCAGAAGAGTATGAAATGAAAATTTCTGATGATTTATAAAGTGGTATAAGTTATACTTTCAAAAAAAGTTAATTTCACATACTCAGACCATTGTTTGGGTCTGAACACCTTTTCAAGATCAGAAAAATTTCAGCTTTAGAATTCGGGTTTGTCCAAATCCGAAACTTCTGAAATTGGCAAAGCCTCCAAAATTGAGCATGGTGGAAGTTCGTTTTAATTGGCTGTCGATCCCGATCATCAGATTGAATATGATTGGTTGATATATTTCGTATTACGATAGTCGTCATATGAAACCCCTTTGATATGACAACTTCCAAAATCATTCGTACGACAAAGAATTTTTTTTTTACAAGACCATCTTTCAAGCTCTAAAGTACCTTTTAAAACTTTCAGATCAGTATAGATCAGATAGGTTAAGGTACTTCACTTATGCGTAAAAAACAGAAAATGTATGAATTTTATATAGGTTATTTAAATTTTGACAATTTGGTAACTCTCCCAATCGTGCATATATTTGAGTAGACTTTTTTTATTAGCGTGAGCTTCAAGCTCTAAAATACCCTTTAAAACGTTCAGATCAGTATAGATCAAATAGGTTAAGATACTACACTTATACTTAAAAAGTGGTGACATATGGATTTTATATAAATTTATTTGGCAAGTAAAAAATTTAATTACATATATTAGCTTCATTTTACCATTTATCTATATTATCTAACGCATTTTGTAAATTTACTGCTATTTCTTCTATATGTATATCCTCTTGTTCTTCTGTTTCTTCTGAATCTTGAGATTCTTCTTCGATTCTGTCATTTTCGGTAAGAGTATCAGCGTCTTTTTCAAGTCTCTCTATAAAATAATTAACATTCTTATATATCCCAGTTTTATAGTACTTGTTACAATGTTGACAACCATATTCAATTTTATTATAACAATCCCAATGAAAACCATGTCCGCAAATTAATATAGTACCACCCCCGTTTTTGTTTAATGGTCTGTAACAATTGTCACAGAGTTCTGGTAAAGGAGGTGCACTGGTACTGTAGCCCATTGGCAAGCACATGATATCAACATCTTCGCCTAAAATGGAGAGCTTATATTTTAGAGGTCTTTTTTTCTTTTTTTCTTGTTTTTTATTTCTATTATTTGTCATACTAGCAACCATGCTAATATGCTGAAAGGTCTGGCGAAAATAATCTAGCAAAAATAATGATGTTTTGTCTACTAGATAGTCCAGAGTAGAAGGGGTATATGGGTATCTTTTTTTTGTGTTGAACACTTCTTTAAACAACGATTGCTTATTTGTATCTATTTTTTTATTTATTTATTCATTTATTTGTATTTGTACTATTAGTGACTTATCATATTATATAAACTAAATTTTATTTTATCTTTTTTAACTTACCTAGTATACACGCTTGTTGAATAATATTTTCAACACTATCGTGAGCTGATGTGTTTGCTCGTATTTGGCTGTGGAAGTTTTCAACGAAATAGTCATTGAAATTTACAAGAAACATTTTAATTACTTCCAGCATTGGATGATTTTTGTCTTGCCAATAGAAAATATCCAACAAGAACACCAAAGGAGCCTTGTTATAATTTTTGCGCTTCTAACGTAGTGCAAAAGTCCATATCCGAAAAATAGGTTCAACATATTCATCAAAAGAACCCAAGCGAAAAAGGACGGCATATATGTCTAAAGTTGCTGGAATTATGTTATCGAGTAGATCAACTAACATTCGGTACTCTACGTCTTTACATGTAGGCCCGAATTTTTCTAATATTTTTATTTTCATTTTCAACCATCCCTGATAAGTGATTTCAAGCAAGAGATTTATCCTTCACGGTTTGGGATTTTTTGGAAACTTCTTTTTCTCTCCAAAAACGGTATGAAAAAGTTTCTTGAAAAAAGAATAATATGTTATTATGACTTGTTCTCGACTGTTTAGCGAGACATGAAGTGGACCTAATATAGATATGAAGGCATTAATACTTGCTGGTATTTCTGGATTTTGTTGATGCAAGTAAGTTAATGCTTTTCGTATGAAAAGCTGGCCAGGC